CAGTATCGTTTGCCCAAATGTAATCCGTCTCTCTCCTCCACTCACTGTGAATCGTACCTGGATGAGGCACAAGGACAAAAAGGCCAAATCTATAATTCTGTACGAACAGACAGAAAGTACATAGCTAATAAACTTCATTCTTCTTTTTCCTTGGAGCATATATGCATGCCCTACCTTCAGGGAGACTGATTTATGAGAGCCAAACTTGTTTTTTCATGACTTGTTTGATTGCATTCTCAGCTATCGCGCACTCGGGCTGCCAACACTATAAAAGTTCACACCTGCACAGACTTTCTAGAGAGTCAGATGAAACGCGGCTAGAGCATGAGGAAGCAGGTGATCTGAAGTGTTTTACTTCCCTTGATCAGCACAGGCATGTAATACAGATCAGACAACATGGCTGATTGATTGATGCTCACTCAACCTGAACACAAGCTTTATCTCTCAGTGTGCCTAAGTTCAAGGGAAGGGAAGGACACATACTTTAGAGATGATTCTCCATTTGCTTACCCCGCTGAAATTATCCAGTGATCGTCTTTTTAACCGCCTAACACAGGGGTGTCAAACTCATTTTAGCTCAGGGGCCACAATGAGGGAAATCTAGTCCCAAGTGGGCCGGGCCGGTAAATAAAATAAAAAAAACTTCAGATTGTTTTCTTTGTTTTAATTCAGTCAATATAAAACAAGGCTGGAGCCTGAGGACAGTGTAGTATAAGTACAACACCTGAAGTGTACTTGAAAATTTGAAAAAAATAAAAAAATCAATAAATAAAAACAACATTCCTTAGTGATTCAAAGAGCTTACATATCACATGGCTAGATCAGTTTCATGCAGCACTTAAAGTATATTTGACTCATTTTACTTAACATCTTTTAGCTTTCACCAGCACATCGATATCAGAAGTCACATCCTGAGTGGCGGCCAACTTCAGGATGTGACTCAAGTTCTTGTGTGAGCCTTGAGCGCAGCTTTGTTTTATTTATACTCGTTACAGAGGAATCTTGCTCACAAAGATAAGTTTATTTTCACTCTATTTTGTAAAGTATGAAAATAAAGTTTATACAACCATCTCGCGGGCCGGATTTAACCCGCTTGCGGGCCGGATCCGGCCCGCGGGGCCGAATGTTTGACACCCCTGGCCTAACACTCCGGCAGCTTCAAACACGAACGGCCTGACTCGTTCTCGGATTTGCGTTGGATAACTGTTCACACTTGACATTATTAGGGTTTTGCATATACCATTGTAATATCCTTTACATTAAACATCTGACTTGGATGTAAACGTTCTCTGGTTGGTTCTAAGAGGATGTTCTGGGTCAAGCATCTGTGTGGTGTAGTCTCTGGTTGGTACTAATGACCTCCTGTAGCAATAATGCAATAAGCGTCGTCTCCCGTCTACATTCTCTGGGTTCTTCTTCACTTGGCCTGACACAATCGTGCATTTATCAGTGTAATTGCTGGAGTCACAAGCGCTGATGTTGTCTATTAGGCGGATTTCCGCCCTGTTAAGAGTGGAGGGCCTTTTAATGTATGACCCTTCTTGAATGTACTGTTACACAATTACACACGGAGCATAGATTGAGTGGGCTGATGATGCCGATGATTGGGATGGTAGTGGTCTGATGGTGGTGATGATATTGGACCACCCTAACAAGCTTTTCTGAGAGACTGAGTGAAATAACAAAGAGAAACGGAGGTTAATGATTTTATTTACTCGTTTTCCCCCTCTCCCTCCCCTTCCTTTAACCAAGTGATGGAGCTCGGACCATGGGGCGGGGGGTGGAGGAAATCGATAGGAAGCGCATTACATTAAAACGTATTGATTACGAAACCTGTGAGCAGTGTGTTGGTCGCAGAGATGGTGGAATGATGCAATGCTTAAAGGAATTCATCCTTTGACTTTTACATTAACCTTTTATTGACTGCTTTGCCTGTCCATAATTAACACTCACTTTAGCTAAAGTGGTTAGTTTGAGCTCAAAGGGGCTCGGGCCCTTTTGCACCGAGGGCCGTGGCGCTGCTGCCCCAGCCGCAGTTCAAGTGCACTGTGCTGCACGAAGGGAAGGGCCTCGGTGGAATAGAGGCGATAGAATCCTAGATGCCTTTCACATTAGCATACCATTTGAGCAGGGGCCTGCCAGGCTATAAGGTTTCAGGGCAAATTGAAATGAGTGATTGTATTGCCAATCTTTCTTGACCGAGCGCCAGATGGGATAGTTAGGCCCATATCTGTCTGGGGTTAATCCATTGGAACAGCCTGGACTCACAAAACACATTCTCTACCTCCCAATACCCCCCCCCATCCCAACACCAGTGAACACACACACACACACACCTCTTTGTCTTTGACCTCACCTTTAAGGTGGACGGTTCTGCCATGGGAAAGTCTTTGGGTGAGCCTCGTTTGTACGCCTCTGCTGCTTACACAGACTGGAGAGCCCTGGAGAGCTTAAGGCACCTCGCCTGGTATTGACTTTTTGTTTGGTTCCATTTTAGCAGTCGGGGGACAGCACTCTGGGAACAGTGGCAGACTGTCTACAAGTGTGTGCTGAATTACCTTCACTGCATTATCTTTGATAGTCTTCTAGTCTTGATATCTGTTCCATCTCTGATAAACCATGAGCCTTCTATTTGCAGCCTTCTGTTGCAAGATCCCTTGTCAAATAAATGACAGCAGCTCTGTCGAAGGTGGCCAGTTTGGTTTTTTTTAGAGTATGTAGGCTTTCATTATGAGTCATGGCAGCAGAAAAGTGTTTCTCTCACAGCTCTACTGCATGATGAATGCTTAATCAGACCAAATCAAAAACCTGGGTTCCCTGACTGTGATTGTCCTTAAGCTGATGTCAGCAGATCTCACCGTGTGTGTGTGTGCGTGTGTGTGTGTTGTCTGGGTCAGTTTGCACTAACACACTGTGCAGATTCATATGCCAGCCATGTCGTCCTTCTTCTCTGAAGTGGTGCTTCCTTTAATTCGCTCCCTAAATAAATGATGAGAACGATTTAAACGCGCGGCTCGTCGCAAAGCCCCAAGGTCGCCTAATCGTATTATTTATGAAGTGATGTGCTACATAATGGTACTTAGTGCATGTTAACAGATGCTATTATCAGGCCCTGATCCAAGGGCGCCAAAAGATATATTGGTCAGTGGATGTTAATGCTGCTCCTCACCGCCGTCAATGCAGCAGCTCTTTAAAGGGCTAACCTCACCAAAATGCAGCACTTAGGCCCAGAGCCAGGTGGATGTTAAGTGGCTCCTGAGAAAATATATTACAACAAATTGTGGCGCCCCCCCGACTGTCCCCCAACAACTTCAACATCCCTCATCCCATCCATAGCCCACCCCCTCGGGGCTCTAGCCACAAGGTGGTTTTGTGTGTGTGTGTGTGTGTGTGTGTGAGCGGGGATCAAACTTTTGTTTTTTGAGGGGGGGCTTAACCCAAAATTCCACTATCTCCGCTCTGGCACGAACTCCGCAGCAAAAACGGTCCCGTTGTAGTCAATCAGAGCTGTTCCACTACTGCGGGCCGTGCGGCGCAGTGCACCGCCCTGTATCGCAAGATCTCGAAAATCCCGCGCACGCCTGTTTGCGAACCCAGGTTTCCGCACCGGAGCGGAGCCGTTGTAGAGCGGGTAGCAGTATAAATTTGAGTTCGGAAGCGAGCGGCAGCGGAAAGCGGAGGCAAGGCGGAGATAGTGGAATTTTGGGGTTAGTCTAAAAAGATATGACAGGCACTGAGTCTTGTGATTCAGGGAAAATAAAATTCTCTCTCTCTCTCTCTCTCTCTCTCCTCTCTCTCTCTCCTCTCTCTCTCTCTCCTCCTCTCTCTCTCTCCTCTCTCTCTCTCTCTCTCTCTCTCTCTCTCTCTCTCAGTCTCTCTCTCTCTCTCTCTCTCTCTCTCTCTCTCTCTCTCTCTCTCTCTCTCTCTCTCTCTCTCTCTCTCCTCTCTCTCTCTCTCTCTCTCTCTCCTCTCTCTCTCTCTCTCTCTCTCTCTCTCTCTCTCTCTCTCTCTCTCTCTCTCTCTCTCTCTCTCTCTCTCTCTCTCTCTCTCTCTCTCTCTCTCTCTCTCTCTCTCTCACTCTCCCCCCCCCCCCCCCCCCATGCTGAACCTATTCCCTCCTGCACCACCAGGTCAGGGGTCATCCTCGTCCGTCAAGAGGCAGAGGAGGGGCAGATTTACAGGGACAACAGCGAGCAAAACGGTCACAGCAGTAAATATTTACATGAGTCTGACAAAAGATGTGGGCGAAGTTGTGTGAGAGGTTCAGAATCCTGCAGAAATTACATCTGACCTCAGATTATTAATCACACAGCTATTCTGCAGCTGCATGAAGAGGCTGGTTTTGTAACCGTGGTGTCTGAACTACAACAACAGTGCGACGATCTTGTGAAAGTACAATCAGATTTGCCTCATCACTTTATTACCGTTGTTACCGTTCATGACTTTTTCTGGCATACCAGGTCCTCCGTTTCACTCAGGTGTCTTTAGGTCTGTGAGCTTTAGCTCATTACACACACACACACACACACACAACACACACACACACACACACACTGGATGCGCTGACAGAGGCAAGGCCCCAAGGACACAATGACTGGGAAACACTACTTGGTGTGTGTGTGTAACCGTTTGTGTTGTAAAGCACCTTGGGGGGTTATAGAACCCTATCAGGTGCTATATAAGTACAAGCTATTTATCATTTAATGGCTTTTCGTGGGCCGAGCCTCTACAATCCTGATCTCTTTGATCACCGTTTGAAGCCGACACCCTCTGGTTGACTGAAACATTACACTTCTTATTTCAGTCGCATCATCACAACACAAGAGTTTGAGGTTTAATCTCCAACATGCACAAAGACACAACTAGCAGGAATTCTTTGGCCAAAGTAAACGTTCCCGTCTAGAAGGCCTCCCTAAAGCTGAAGTGTGTTTCCAGCAGTTGGTTTTGATGGGTGGGAGGAGTTAATGGGTTTGTGCATTTCCTGTGTGCTGTCGCCTCAGGTGCCACTCGAGCCTGGCCCAGACGTTACCCCCCGAGGAGGCCCCAGTGGACCGACCTTTCTGGGGCGTGGACGACCCCCGGCATGCCTCTGCCCTTTGATCTGGCTGACATCATCAACAGAGTGGAGTCGCTGCTATGGAGGTGAGCTCACGATGCCAAAGTGTAAAACATGCCCTTACTGAAACACCTGCTGCTCATGACAGAGGTAAGTTTATCAATTGTTTATCACGTGTTACTGTTCTACCCGTCACTGATGAACGCTGCACACACACACGAAAATCATGTTGTAATATTTCATAATACCAACTGTGATGCTCAAATTAACAAGGGAGAAGAACAGGAAGCTGTAGAGGCTGAATATTAAACGATTAGCAACGACACGGTCGGTCCAGACCGCCGTGTTCCAGATGACACCGTGATCAGACACACGACGTCTACCATTGTTAAAACACATGCCTGTTTTTCATTGTTTCTTCTGTATCTAATCATTACCATAGAGATACATCGGAACATTTAAAAAGCACTTTATTGTTGCTGCTCCAACAAAGAAAGACCACATAAAACCAGGAACTCTCCAGAGTTTTATTATAACGTACAAAACTCATGAAGGAGTTGTTTTTTTCTCCAAGGCTGATGAGCTCGTAAAGTGTTTTCACTAATATCAGCTCTGGTGATCCACGTGTGGTTTTAATGGGTGAGTTTTCAACAGGGGTTGCTAGAGAAATAGGAGTAATTCGTTATATCAGGATTTTTTCTTTCAGTGTTCCTGAAAAAGTTTATTTTTGAAGATACGAAGTTTCTGCCTTAAAGTGATAAAAGCAAACAACTAATTATCGTCATCGTTAAACTCGAGAAATGAGATTTTAAACTAATCTGAGTATAAATGCACGATATTCTTTATTCACTCCATACGCCTCTGAGCACCTTTACAATAATTCCTATCATTTGTTTTATTCTCTAACTATATATAACCAAATTCCAACTTTAACAACACATTTTTCTTTTTTCTACTGTTTTATTTTAGAACATTTCCTCATTACTAATTTCAGAAAGATCAAACTGCAGAATAAATGTTGAGCGTTTTGTTGGCAGAACGAGTTCCATCCTAGAGACCCTTTAAACACGAGGGAAGGTGACTTTAGTTGTGACCAAAAATTTAAAAAAGCTTTGCTTTGCTGTCTTGAAATAAAGACAAATTAACAAGAAAAGATGCTAAAATGACATTTAAATACCATTTTATTTACAAACCTTTTTAGTGTAATTTTTACTGAAAAACTTAATCGGTTTTCCGTTTCTAATGCTAATGTAGCGTCATGAATGGCCTCTAATTTGTGACAAAGGTCACATTTTCCCAGCTGGGTCAAGCTGGGTCGAACTGTAACTTTGTCCCACAGATTACCAACCCAGGAGCCGTGATGTCACCTGAAACAACATCTTTATCTGCTGCTGTTCCGTCCCAAGATGAAGGACACTTCAAGATTTCACAATAATAATTTTTAAATAATAATTTGAATAAACTCTTTGACTTTATTGCTGTTATTACAATCATCATAAATAATCATCTGGTTCAGTATAAATGTATTTTAATTACTGAAATGACTTATTATGCTTTGTGTAATAATATAATTATTCATGATAATCCGTAATGTGTGATCAGTAAACCAGAAGGTCATCTTGCACCTCACGCAGAGGGTATCCAGGGTAAAGGGTAAACCACCTCACGTCTTTACTCATAACATCAAGCTTTCTGACGCTGAGAGGGCGTGTTCTGAGTTTTGTTAAAACCAAATCCCGCAGCTGTAAGTTCAGTTCTTGAACCCACCAGAAGACGAGGGACGGCCGCCCAAGTCTCTACTAAGCATTCTGTCACGTCGATAGTCTTGCTTCTAATAAACGCACCTGTAACCAGCTGACACAAAAGTACTTCAAAGTTAAGCCAGACGCTCGACACCGCGTACCCTGCGACATCTCTGGACCAGAGAGGCGGTTCCACTCGGGTCTTCTCTACCGGACCGAGTACCCCTGAGGATGACAACATCCTCCTTTGACCTCCGGATCCACACAGAGGGTCGTCTGTTGGGTGAGGTAGCACACAGATGGTGTCCGATGCTGTTTTCTCTAAGCAGCATCAGTTAGCTGCTAAACCAACTTTCCACCCAGAACGCTTCTCTCGCTGAAAGAAACCTTCTGAGTTTCATTCACGCATCCAAAACCTCACATTTCATTTTAGTTTCCATTCAGTCACAGGTTTGCTCTTAAAAACAAGTTTTAATATCAAAGCTGTTAAAAATTGTCATTTTTAAAAGTGTTAGTAATAAATTCAGCTTGGTTACAGATGGTTTAAAGGACTTGTATTCTACCATCGGATTTAATACATTAAGTTTTTCCCTTTTCTCGTTTCCACAGGATGTGAATGTTGGCTAGAAAATCCAAGGAGGAAACAGAAGAACCGAACCCACCAGCTTTTCTGAATGGTTGACACGTCAGCTGAGGGGACTGACCGCTGCTGTGATCCCACCGAGATAGAACTCCTTTAGGCTGGGGCTCCTACGTCTCCTCCCTTCCAACCTCACCTTCCAGCGACCCCCAGCAGGTCCCGGCCTCTCAGCCACGTGGACCTGGACTTGGCTGGAGGGAAACCAGAGCCCCGGTAGATTCATCGTAGTGTTTCAGTAACACGCTAACAACGCAACGCTTAGCATCAAGCTACTAGCGTCACAACAGTCTAATGAGTCTGTTTGCATTCATTGTGTAACTATTTATTATTTCTGTGTTCTCTGTTGCTCAGTCCCATGTAACCCAGACATGCTTTTACCAGTGGAAGGACTCATTCTCAGTAGCTACAGCGCAGTACCCACATATATGCTTTCAGCTCCTCACACAGTATTATACTACAGTACACAATACTCACTTTGCTCACATGGTATTGCATCTTTCACTTGTGTATGGCGTAGCCTCTTGAATTGTATTTGGAAGTGGAAAGAGCCCGAAGAGACCAAAGATGGACCGAGACTGGAGGTTCTGAATGTGGACCTTGTGGAGAACATGAAGAACGTGTCGTGTTTTGGTGTAGTGGTTTGCTTGGGCCATTTATTTGTGCGAATGTGTTCGTACACTTAGCCATGTGATCAGTCGTCAGCTTGCGTGTCTTGTGTCTGTCTCCCACCCGTTTACATGAAGACATGAGTGCGTGTGCGTGTGCGTGCGTGTGTGTGTGTGCCTGCAAGGATGTCTGTAAGTTGTTTGTTCTTGAAGAATGTGCACGAGGAGGAATGGAGTCTTGCAGCGGCGCCCCCTTACTGCTGCTGCGCTCTGATGAAAGGCAGCGCTGATGGAATGACCCGGAACACAACCGCCGTTTCTCATAATTACAGCTGTTCAATCGCTTTTAATTACTCTTAAAGCGTGTAGAGCACCACGTTCCCCCTGTAATGCTGCGGGCCATCCGAGAGAGCGAGAGAAAGATCCGGAGCTTCTGACAAAATCCACTTTCAAAATAAGCTTTAGGGGGGGGGGGGGGGGGTGGTGTAAGCGATGAAGCAACCCTGTTCGTTTGATTTCTCTCTATCTAGATCAGGATGAAGTAGAAATGCTGTTTACTATTAAAAATGCAGAATGCACTCTTTTTTTTTTTTTTTTTTTTACTTCTGAGGTTTTCTCCAAGATGTTAATGGTTGCCAAACGCTGTTCTTCTTACTCTGCGCCTTTGTTGTTTGTTATTGTCAGAGACTTGTTTGTAGATCAGCAGTAGTGTTGACTTGTTTGAATCACTCTGTGCTCCCTGCGCCTCATCTCGTCTGTCTGAAGCAATAGGAATGGCAGTAAAGTAAAAAGAAATGTGTTTCATCCTGCCGCTTGTGTCCTCATTTTGGAATAAATCTTTTAGTTCTGGAACAACAAATTTTCTGATTGCCTAAAGTAAGATCCGATACTTCCTGATTACCGATTTAAATCCGTCCAAAGAATGAAGCGATTAAAGCTGCAACGGCAAATTTGGAAAACTAATTTTTCACAAGCCTCTCAACGTTCTAACGTAGTCTAGCCATAAATATATTGTGGAGGTAAAAATAATAAAGTGGTTCTCTCGCATTTGTCTAAAAGCCTCCATCAATACCGCGTTATGGACCATAAAACCAACCACTGGACCACCTGGTTGTCAGTTTTACTGAAGCGCCGCACTTCCCTGGGTCCTCCACTCATCACACTCATGTAATCAGCACCAGAACACCGCTGGTGGGAGAGGTTCTCCGCTGAATAACATCAGAGAAGAAGAAAGAAAAACACCATCTGAAGTCATGGAAAACAAAAGAAAACTGGAAAACGGCGATTGGTGTTTAGCGCCATCTCGTTTCCTCTGGTAATGTGGGTTTCCGGTTCCGGTGTTGGTACCAGATCTGCTCAGGCAGCCAGATTGGCTCGGGGTCTTGCGTCTGCAAATTACGTCACAGAAGATGATTGGCTGAACGTAAGACTTACGGAAGTTACGGTACCACATTCGTAAAAGTTACGTTAGCACGTTGACAGTGAAGATTTTAATTGGTCAGAGCGAATTTCACGGTTGTAGTCTCAGCGGTTGTGGTCCTATAGTCCAAAAATCAACACTTACCGGAGAAAATATGTTTGAATTTCCAAAGGAAACGTAAAATGAAAGCAAAGATATCGACTGATAAACGGTGACCCTCCAAAGCTCTTGATTTTGATGAAAAGGGGCAAAAATAAAATAGAAGAACTTTATTGAAAGGACACGAGGAAACATTTTGAATGAATGAATGAATTTACACAACAAAGGAAATATACAGACAAATTACACATTAATTCATACAAATATGGCTTCACATATAAGAACGGTTGTGTTTTTGGCTGTCTGATGTTGGTTTTATGTAGTTTCACATTCTTTACAAAACAGAAAATTTGGTGTTTCACTAACAAATTACAATTATAAAGAAAACATTTAGGTGTTAACGAACAAGAATGTATAAGCAAAACTGCTGATGTCGTTAAAAAACTTTTGTGATTTTTAATTATTTTTTTATCATTACAAGGAACTGAGCAAGTTAGAATACATATTTGACATGAGTTAAATTTTCTTTGATAACTGTAATGTAATTAATACTTATAAGAAGAAATAAGACAATTCTATCAAGCACAACTGAAAGAGAAAGAAAAGAAAAACAAAAGAGGAGAAAGAGGGATTTAAAAGATTCTTTTAAGAAGAAAGGCATCAACATAACTCCGTTCTAATAGCTTTTGGACAACTATGCCTTTTAAAGTGTCAAAATAGAGTCCTAACTCAGTGTTTAATATGTTCATGTTTGGGTTTGTGTTGGACCACTTAAATTTATTTAGGAAATGTCCTATTCATAAATCTATCAGATAAAAAAAATGAAGAAATGTGATTTTAAAAGATTTTTTATTTGTAAAGGAAACTATATCTCTTAAATGTAATTTAATATTCTTATCAAGACATAGTGAAATTAGATGTTCTGTCTCACACTAACAAATACACATTCATAGAACAGGTGTGGAAGGGTCTCCGAAGCAATTACAGAACGTACAAGAGTCATCTAACACTTACTCTCAGGAAGTCCACAGAATGTAGTTAAAAGTCTTCAGCTTGTCCAAAATGCTGCAGCTAGAGTTCTGATGAGAATTAAAAAGAGAGATCATATCTCTCCTGTCTTAGCTTCCCTACATTGGCTACCTGTTAAATTCAGAATAGATTTTAAGATCCTTCTTCTCACATATAAAGCTCTTAATAATCAAGCTCCATCATACATCAGTGATCTGATTGTTCCATACGTTCCTAACCGAGCACTTCGCTCTCAGACTGCAGGTTTACTGGTGGTTCCCAGAATAACTAAAATTAGGATGTGAGGCAGATCTTTTAGTTATCAGGCTCCTCTCCTGTGGAACCAGCTCCCAGCTTTAGTCCATGAGGCAGACACCTTGTCTACTTTTAAGACTAGGCTTAAAACATTTTTATTTGATAGGGTCTATGGTTAAAATCTGATGTTAGCCTACATCTGGACAAGTGGGGGAGTACAGGGAGGTGGAGTGTACAGTCGGTAAAGAACATTAATCGAGTTAATATTATTTATTGTACAGGGTGGGCCATTTATGTGTATGAACCTTAATGAAACGGGACTGGTGATATTAACGTCCTGTTTGTGGCACATTATTATATGTACATTATATATGTGAGGGGGCAAATTTTTCAAGATGGGTGGTGACCATGGTGGCCATTTAGAAGTCGGCCATCTTGGGTCCAACTTTTGTTGTTTCTCAATAAGAAGAGGGTCATGTGACACATCAAACTTATTGGAAATTTCACAATAAAAACAATGGTGTGCTTGGTTTTAACGTAGCTGTATTCTGTACATGTATTCTCCCAACAGAACTGACATTTGGGAATTGTTTGTGAATGAACTAAATACCAGAAACATTTATTACATTTTGTCCAGAATATGGATTTAATTAGAATATATTTATTTGTGATGGCTGTAAATTTGGCTCTTTTTGTTTAGTAATAGTCTAATAAAACCAGGTGGAATTGCATCAAAAACTATCGAGTAATCTTTCCCAGAAATTGGAATATTAAAAGTTTTAAGAAACTCAGTATGAAAACAGAGGGCGTTTTTATTCATCAGTTGAAAAACATCATTTATATTATTCTGCGACAATGTTTCATAGTATATTGATATGTTTTATATTTAATGAAATTGTTATTCCAAATCAGGTGTTTATGTGGGGATTATTGTTTTTTATTTTATGTTTGTATAGAAACCAACATAATGAAGCCTGCCTATGAAAGTTAGATAACTTAATGGGAATTTTGTTAACATCAAAGTCAAAATGTAAAAGAAATTATGTTCCTCCCACTGTTCCGAGAACAAGGTTAGGTATGAAATACCATATTTTATTTTAGTTTTTAGAAAGTATTTGGTCCATTTCAGCTTAAAATTATTATTTGCACCATTTAAAGCTAACATGTTTAAGCCTCGTTGAATATAAGTGTTTTTAAGTATAGTTCTATTCAAATATTGAGATTTATTTCTCCGTGTAAAGTTATAGAGAGCAGAATCAGAGCTGTCTATGAAACATTTGGGAACGTCTAACACGTTTGCTGGGTATAATAAACGAGACATTCCTTCTGTTTTTGACAGAAGGAATCTGCCTTTAGGAGGTAAATCCCTCATAAAAGTGTGGATGGGTGAATGACTGATTGTGTTGTAAAGGACTTTGGGGGATTCCAGGACTCTAGAAGGCGCCGTATCAAATACAGACAATTTACCATAAGCCATAAAAAACGTGTGAAAGCCGAATGGATTTGCCATAATGTGACGTCATCAGCAGGCGCAGGACGACGAGCCAATCTGGCGACTAACCTCCTGGCAGATCACCGCACGGTATTCCGGCGACCCCATACCCTTGTCCAGACCCACTGAGTCGTTCCTAATGGAACCCTTCGTCGCCTGATCCTCCTCCTGATTTCCACCCACTCCCACTTGGGCGGGAACCCAAACGAACCCCACAACACTGCCCTGTTTCTGGAGTTCACAGAGCAACCGGCGTACGAGACTAGCAGATCCGGCCTAGAGCCCGATCTCATACCTGCCAGCGCTCTCAACGCTGCCGCCGAGTCGGAGCACACGACCGCCCTCATTGGCCCATGTTCCCCCACCCACCTTAAGGCGCACAGTACAGCCGCCACTTCCATCATGAATGCTGAACTGTGGTCACGTAGCCAGATACCAAACATGTGCCCCAAGCTAGGAATCACAAATCCCACTGCAGCCCTGCCACTCTCAGGCTCCCTAGAGCCACGCGTGTGTAACGGCACATACGAGGACCATCCTGCCTTCAAGTACTCCTCTACCTCCTCCGCCTGACCTCTCCCCCTGCCCTGCTCTAAGAGAGTCCACCTCTGGGTTGGGTAACTGCCACGGCAGAACACACCACCTGACCAAATGTGAAAGCACTGGCCGGCCGAGGAGACCCAACCGGAGGATCTGATCCTAAACCAGAGAATGATGTAACTTTTGGAGGGTGAGTCAGAGATGAAGGACAGGTGTGCTGAATGACTGGGCTGAGGGGGAGAAAACCACGGTGGGACAAGGTCAAATAAATAAATAGAGATACTTTACTAACTGGCCCAGATGGGTCATATTTTTACATCAAACATCAGTCATCTGTGATTTCTATCTTTCATCTCGTCTCTGAGCAACCGCTGCTTTATTTCCTCTACGATGTATAAAAAAACTGCTGAAGGGTGGATTGATCAAGCAATTGGCGATATTCTCAACAACTTCTCAAATCCTCCACCTCCACTCATTTGCGTGCTGCCGTCCCATTGGTCAGTTGTGTTTACTACTTCCTGAAATGGCTGAGTGAGGGATGAACGAGTGTGATGCGCGCTCCCCTGAGGGAGGGGGCGACTGAAAAAGGGCCCCCACTTGAAGAGACAATTACACGGCGCTGGTGAGAGCCACAGGTATGCATTGTTCTGACCGGGGTCAGCCGCCAGCCAGCCGAGCCGAGCCATCGTCAATTAGGCCAACAATAGGTGGCGGGGAGAGATAAAATACCCAGGTGTGTTGGGGAAAGGCATCGGTGCGGGGTCACGTCCCAGTCAAAGGTTTCAAGGAGGATGTGTTCAGGTGTCACTTTGTTTTCTGGGGAGTCGTCGTTTTCTTTTTATGGAGTAATGATAATGGAGTAGCAGCTGCACTCTGAGCATCCATCTTTACTCGTGAATGCATGGACACTGTTCTCTACAACTGTTTCTGTTTGTGCAACAATGGATGCATGTGCACATCTGAGCCCAGGTTCATGGAAATGACTCGATGACCGT